GTAGGTGGCGATGTCTCCGACCGCGTACACACCTTGCTGACCAACAACGGAGAAGTGTTGGTCAACCTTGATGGATCCATCCTTCTCAAGCTGCAGGGAGCTGTTCTCTTTGAGGTATGTTGTCGAAGGAGCAACACCAACACCAAGAATAACCAGGTCCGCATCTAGCCTGGTTCCATCCTTGAGCAGGACTGCACCAACAGCTGATGGGTCCGACTCCGACGGCACAGCCTTGTCCACCGAGGCACTGCTGTAAAATTTTACACCCTTGCCTTGCACGATTTTCTGGACACCTGCGCCAACATCTTTGCCAAGGACGCGCTCGAGGGGTACGCTCTCCATGCCGATCACAGTGACGGAGTTGTCGGCGGCGGTCGCAACGGCAACCTCCATACCGATGAAGGAGGATCCGACAATGATAATGTTCTTGCCCTTGCTGCCAATTGAGTCGACAATCTTCTTGACATCATGGGCGTTGCGCAAGGTGAAGATGTTGCTCAGAGTCTTGAACCCTTCGAGCGGCAGCTTTCGCGGTGTCCCTCCAGTCGCGAGGATCAGTTTGCTATAAGCAATCTTGCCACCGCTCTTGGTCTCAACATTGCGATCTGAAAAGTTGACAGCAGTCACTTCACCCTCGACCCATTGAACGCCGCCAGCATCGAACCAAGCCTTGTCTCTCCACGCGATCTTGCTGGTGTCGGAGATCAGGGCCTTGCTGAGCTTTGGACGGTCAATTGGCAGGTACCCTTCGTTGCTGATGACGGTGAGAGCGCCCTTGTAGCCCTTCTCTCTCAGCCCTTCGACTGCACCCAGAGCGCCGGAGCCTCCTCCCACAACAACAATGGGATCTTCCTGTGCACCTCCCGGGGCAGCACTGCATTTGAAGTTGGGGCTCCTGCGGGAGCTTTTGATCGCGGACTCTTCGCCCGTGATGTACACTGCGCCGTCTCGCTCGGCGACATCAAATACAGGGAGGGCGTCAAGAGCTGGCGCATCTTCGACATCTCCAGTCTTTGCGTTGAAGCAAGCTGCCAATGGGTTAGCTATGGTGTCTACCCCTCCCAACCCGAAGTCACACTCAAATCGTGGATTGCACGGGTAGATTGGCCAAACATACCTCCGTGCCATGGGCATCTCAAGTAGCCGGACTTGGTAAGCACGCCCTTAGCCAGGGGAGCACCATAATGGGTGCATTTCGAGCCGACAGCCTGTACTTTGCCGGCCGCGTTGAGGAGAACAACCTTGCCATTCTCGACGCCCTCGACCTCAACCTCCTGCTTATCGCCGAGGGAGAGGGCGAGGGACGTGACGCCCTTGAGCTTGTATTCCTTGGCTGACATGGCTCTAAAACTTTCTGTGAAATGCCTGGCCGGAACCTGCGTGCAATACTTGGGCTTCAGCTGGCCGGAGGAGACTATAAATCTCTGGAGGCGATGCATGGGGGGAGGGAGGAGGAGGAGGAAGAGCAGGGCGCGGGGGGACGGCTTTGCCTGGCGTCAGGAGGGTAAGCCGGCGGGTAATGGAACCGCTTGTAGGAGCCATGATGGCGCGAACAGATACACACCGGGCTTCTATAGGCCCAGATAGGCGGGTGCGCAGGAGACGGGGAAGAATCCATGATTTCATGGTGATGTACTGGGTTGACAAGTGCAGCAGTGCCGTTGGGGGGCAGGACTGATTGGGACTAGCTTCATTGCCGCTTGAAGTTGAGTGAATACCGCTTAGTTATCCGGATTTGGGGCCGTGTATTACTTTTATGCATGTGCATTACTCTGCTCAGTCTCAGACACTCTCGATGCTGCAAAAATGAAGGCGCTTCTCCTAGTATTGCAGATCCCTCGCGAACCCTTCCCTCTCCAAGCAAAATATTAAAATGCAGGCCTAAATGTTGAAGAGCAAAATTTTGTAACAACGGACAAAAAAGTGACAAGTGTGGGGTTCGAACCCACGCATCTCTCGATAATGGTGTTGAGTATGAGAACTTAAGACCACCGCATTAGACCACTCTGCCAACTTGCCAAGCCTATGCTAGAGAAGGAAGCAAGAAATATATTGTGTAGCTCTCACTGCTACCAGGTGAATCCAAGGAAGGGTGCTGTGACTCATTGTCGATGACCTGCATGCATTTCTCATGGGAAGGGTGCCAACTTAATTTTGATTCCTTGATAATTTCGAGGTCGGGTCTGTTAATGACCGACTAGAAACTGTCCTTGAAACTTCACTTGATTCATTTCCTCGGTTCCATAGATGGTAAAAGATGGCATGCGGTTTATCCAATTTATTGGGCTTTGAAGCTGGAAGAAAGAATTTCCCTGTCCAGATCGAGGAAAAAAGCCCAGTTGAATTGGTGCAGCGAGATATCCTAAAGCTTCTACTCCTTTCAGCCGCCGTTGATTGACAGTTACATTCTCACGCGTGTCATTCTCTGGAGGATAAATGTGAATTCCCCAACAAGCTAGCAGCAAACGCGAAAATATGCGAGAGACTGCCATGTTGAAAATAGAACGCATGCTTTCCCATCTTTCCCAGCCGTCGTGTAGCGGAGTGTGGTAATAGTGAACATAGCTCTAGAGGGTGGACAGTATTGGGCAGAGAAGGTCAACAACATGATTGGTGTTGGATGAAAAAAAAAAGAGTAACCCTGATAGAAACAAGAAATTGAAATTTTATTCCACTACTTTATGTTCCCAGTGTTGAGGTTTGGTTGGGTATTCAAGCATGACTATGTTCCCATCTATTCATTACAAGTATGGCCTGGAAGGATATACACATACTATTCGAAACTAGACATTAACAACTTGTATACTAATTGTTGAACAAAGGATCTAGGATTTATTGATGCTCAGACTAGAGGGATTGTCGAGTCATAGGCTATCGAACAGGCAGCCAGTGGAAATCAGTGGCGGCCCGGCCCGGTATGAGCGGGCACTGATGCAGCAGATACCCACACTTGCAGCCGAGGGCATGCTCAGTATTGGAGGAGTTGTAAAATCCGGTGAAGGAATGGCTGGGAGCGCGAGTGAGTGCGGGGGATGGTCATCGGAGGGGTCTGCCCAATGGCTGCGTCTGGCACCCTCAAGCGAAAATCCCATGTCATTTTTGCCCCCAGTTACGAATAAAATCCTAGACATTTGGGAAGGAGAGCCATGGGTATTCCCGCTGGGGTGCTATCATTGGACCGATGGTCGAAGAAAACGGGACAGGGTGACAAAAAATTCATGAGGTTGATCGGGCAGTAAAATGGCGGCGCCTGATGCACAGTCGATGTGGCATGCCGTGACTGGTAACATGCTAAGCGGGTTGCACCCAAGCAGATGATCGGGCGTGGACTCTGATAAGCATGGCATGGACGTACATGTCGGCCACATACACACATGTGCTCCTTCACGTTGCATTGATAGTGCCCTCACCGATCCCGCCATCGACAACTTATCTTCACCCATTGTCGCCCTCGTGTCGTGTAACCCTAACCTTCAGGCCAGAAAATGCAAATGTCGGTCGTCGGGGATCCATGGACGGTGCCCATCGCCCCGACCCTGACGCGGAAGCAGCGGAGGGTCGAACTCATGCGATCCGTACGAAGGTAAGGTAGACCGGAGCTGCGTTTTTGCTTTTTGCGTTGCCGTCATGTTTGAAGTCGCGGGTGGTCTGACCTTGCTCGTTTCTCCTCCAGTCTCTTCTTCACCGGCGACTACTCCGACTGCACCATAATCTGCGGCAATTATGAGCTCCGCATGCACAAGTCCATCATATGCCCGCGCTCGCGTGTTTTTGCCGCCATGTTCACCCATGGGCTCAAGGTAGCTGCTTCTCACATCAATACTCAAGTCAGATTGAGAGACGACTCACCGGCTCTAGGAAATAGAAACAGGGGTCGCAAGGCTCGACGACGAGGACCCAGAGGCAGTTCGCTCTCTTCTTTACTACATGTACCACCTAGATTACCCTTGCCGAGACTCGTCGGGCCTTGTCAAGGCGAACGACGGCGAATCGGAGGTCGGTGCCCCGGACCCCCTCATGTCTCCAAGAAGCGAATCGGTGATGTATCCCGACGCACCTAATCTCATTCACCACTGCCGTGTCTACTGTCTGGCCGACAAGTTTGATGTCGGCTCGTTGAAATCTCTTGCCGCGGAGAAGTTCGAAGAGGAGGCTATCAACTACTGGGACCACCCGCTGTTTATCGAGGCTGCACGGGAAGTGTACGCGACGTCGCCGACAAACGATCTAGGCTTGCGGAGTGTGGTGGTTGGAACTCTTCAAGGCCATCACCAGCTGCTGGATGCTCCAGGCGTGCAGGGACTGTTGAGAGAGTCGCAGCTCGCTTTCGATTTACTTATGGATTCGCGCCGAAAAGGAGGTCTTTATCAATTTTGAGAGGCGGAGAAAGGAGAGGGAGGTACCTGGGAAGGAACCGGGATCTGTCTTGCCTTGGAGGGAAATTTCGTTATCTGAACGCCGCATTATTATCATGTTTCTTTTGTTGCTGTATAAATCGGTATCTGTGGGATGCCAAACACTAGTACATATGTTTGTTGCTTGGTGCCTGCCTAGGTATGCTAGATACTCACGTTCTTTCCAATAGCTGCGAATGAGGGATTCGCTAGATTAGGACAAAGACTACCTACGAATTTCTTCGATGGGAGGATGTTCTTTTCTTTTTCGTCTTGATAAAGTGAGGTTGAAGTAAATAGGTAGAGGGTGTGTCTGAGAAGGAGCAGAAAACGGGTGGTAGTTGCCTCGGATACCTCATTGAAGGAGAAAGGCCGATATCAAACAGGAAGGCACGTATCAGTGAATTGCGGTTTGCCCGCCTCAGGCAGCAACCTCGAGCACCCTAAACTTGAGAACGATTCCAAATGAACCTGATTTTGTCTTCATTCACCGTACAAAGCCTTATCTTCTCATTGCTTCTTCTATCTCAACCCCGTTCAGGCTGACGTTTTATCTCTTCTTCATCAACATCACACTCATTAACCCGAATCCTGGAGTTATCCAAGATGGCTTACTGCACGCCGTGCGATAGAACTTTTGTCCATCAAGCCGCCCTTGCCCAGCATATTGAGGATAGCATGATACATCGGGCGAATTACGGCAGGTACTGCAGCACATGCAATCGTCGTTTTACCGACCCTTCAGCTCTTCGAGACCACCGCTCGAGAGCACACGCAGTCTACGAAGCATACTGCCGACCGTGCGGTCGTTACTTTGTTGATGATGCTGCTCTTCAGGATCACCTCGATTTCTCGAGCGCTCATGCAGCCTCCGAACCGTATTGCCAGAGGTGCGATCGTTATTTTGTCGACGATGTCGCCCTTGAACAACACCTCGATTACTCTACGGCACATCAGGACGACTCCGACGACTCCGACGACTACGATTACTCTGATGATGAAGATGAGCCTTATTGTATGACCTGCGATCGGTATTTCGTCAATGACGAAGCTCTCGAACAACATCTTGATACCTCCGGTGCCCATAACTTCTTCAATGCACCAAGTGCCTACAGAATTCCAGCGTCGAGTTCAGTACCTACAGTTCAACAACCGGCCTCGAGTTCAGTACCTAGTATTCGACAACCAGCCTCGAGTTCAGTGCCCAGTATTCGACAGCCGGCGTCAAGTTCAGTACCTACAGTTCGACAGCCAGCGTCGAGTTCAGTACCTACATTTCAACAACCGGCCTCGAGTTTAGTACCCAGTATTCAACAACCAGCCTCGAGTTCAGTGCCCAGTATTCAAAAACCAGCCTCGAGTTCAGTGCCCAGTATTCAACAATCAGTATCAAGTTCAGTGCCTAGTGTTCGACAACCAGCCTCGAGTTCAGTACCCAGTGCTGTGGTCTTGAAGAAGGAGAATGCCCAAACTCTCCCAAACACTTCGAAGAGCCCGGACCGTCCAAAGCCCATGTCAACCTCCAATGAAACTCTAAAAAACCTAGATCCCAATGTCCTTGGGAATCGAGGACATTCAGCAACCGGAAAAGAAAGGAAAAATATCCCAAATGGTTTCGAAAATCCCAACACATCCGAAGTTGCTGAATCTTCAGGAATCGACAAGATTCGGAGAGTCCCCTTGGCTGAAGCAATTGCAAAGTGCCTAGAGAGAGAGTTTCCCCATCTGAGAGACTTGGATAGTTCAATGGTTGCAAAGGCTCTAGTAAAGGACCCTGATGAGTCGTCTGGCTTAGCAGATTCAAAACCCGCAAACAGCAAGATAATAACAGCGGAATCTTCGGGTGTTTTGAAGCAGGGAAGTACTACTGTAAGTACAAAACCTCCAACAACCGGCCAAGAAAGCCAGAAAGCCTCGATCTGTCCCTTGACTTTGGACCACAAAACGGCCCCAACAACTACTTCAGTTCTTGAAATCCAAGAGAGCCTCAGACAAGACTTGCCGTGCATTTCATGCAATCCGTCTTTTCTAACTGAAGAAGCCATTTCAACCAATATTCGTGACACCCCAGACCACCACATGTGCGTTCTCTGTTCTCAAGAGACCCGATTTGGAACGGCCAAGCTCTTAGAGAACCATCAAGTCTCCAGCCATGGACTTTGTACTCTGTGCAAGGAGTTGTTTGGAAACGCTGAGAATCTTTTCGAGCATGATATCTTGGATCATAATCTTTGCAAGGCCTGCAAGAACTACTTTATAACCAAAGAAGATTTGCATAAGGTAATCATTTCCACATCGAAATGTCTCATCATAAATGGCGATGGCCCCTAGCTAACACTCCTCCAAGCACATCGAAGAGTTTCATCGAAACCAAAAATGTGTTGGGTGCAAAGAATTCTTTGAAACCGCTTCATGCATGGTCCGCCATCTTGAGTTGGGTTCATGCGCCATCTCTAGAGATAAGTTGCGGGTGAAGGACGCCGCGTTGGACTGCTTGAGGTCTAATTTTTTTGCGCCCTTGGAGGACCGAGCGTTACCAATTCAATGCCTGACATGTGATGCAGAGTTCCTGATGGTAAGCGAATTTGTCCAGCACGTGGAGGCCAACACTTGCAAAGAGACCATGGCCACGAATCGACCAGTGGGTATGATTCTCCACCATCTACAATCTCTCGTTAGATTGTGGGAGACATAAGGCCTGTTATGGTTTCATTACCTTTGGATACGAAAAATTGAATAATGCTGAGATATTCTTGAAGGGGGAGGACATACTTGGCAGGAAATATATCCTTGGAGTCGAAGGGCCGTTCTATGAGTATGCAACGTCCATACCCGACGCGCGACTATGCTTTGGTTTATTAAGTTGTTAATGGTGTCGCCCAAAACAATGTGTTATAGTTAGAGCTCTTGAATATCTTGTAACATTATTGCCCCGAATACGCTCGTTCCATAGACAATTTAAATTTCTTTAGAGTTGATCATGACTCTCACTTTTCAACTTCCAGAGTATTTGGGCAGAGTTATGTAACTCTGGGTAACATTTATGCAGACATCCTGCATCTGCATTAATGAGCGGGGCATTTCTATGCAGGCGTGTTAAAGCAGCACTGAAGTGGGATGGAATGGGGCGCAGGCTTGGTAACATGATGCTGCTGATTGGAGAGAGCTGCCCAAGAGCCCACAAAGTACGTCAGTCAGTCTTGGGCTTAGCGGAGGACGAGAGCTTGTAATTGATGACGAATATCCGACATGTGAATGCGAAGCTGGTTTGATTGGCTCTCGATGACCAGGAAAGGGAGAGTTTGAACCCGTCCTGTCGGTCGTGTGCGGGTTTCCTCTGTGCCGCCCCTGGCAGCCCGGTTAGGGTTCCAATCCGCGCGGTGTGGGCATCATGAAGCCTTGTCCAGAAATGAGGAATGCCCTGGACATGCTAAAGTAGCTAAACATAGGATTGTCGTTTCAGGAACCGGTGGTGCTTGGTAATGTCAAATGGCCCGCGGGGAGGTTCCGGATCGACACAGCCTCATCGTCTCCGCCGAGCTATCCGTTGGTTTGAAAAGAAAGAAAAAAAAAGAAAAAAGGAAAAAAAGCCAAGTATCTTGCCTTTATTTCTCGAAAGCTGATACAGTTGTTTTTCTGTAGTAGTTGGGTATCGGTGATATGGGTTTTCACGGAGAGCTGAGCCTGGCCGTTACTTGGACCTCTTTCCTATGTAGATGGTTTTACGACTGACAGTCGATGAAGTATACGGAACTGGAGTATTGCTATCAACCTCTATCCATATTTTAGAGTGCTTGGTTGCTAGGGCTGTGATTTATATTTGATGACCGGCCGGTAGGTAAATTATTGCTGAAAGAGCGAACAAACACAATCTTGCTTTTGGGCCGGGATCGGCAAAATTGCAAAGGAGTTTGAGGTCTACAAGAAGCTCATGGAGGGAATATTTGGCCAGAAGTATGTCGAGTAAATAGTTGGAATGGTTTTTCTCCCTTCTCCAAATAGTCTACCGCCTCACGGTCCGTTCTACTGGGCGCCGAGAGTGGCACCAAGGAGGAGGATGTCAAGTGGGTGACAGAAGAAATGAGACATCAAACTAAAAGGTGATTAAGAGTAGGCCCTTTTAATAATAACTAGAATAACAAAGTCGAATAAAACAGTATGTATAAACAATATTTAGTATCTTGTCTCTCCAGAATTCATTATTAGCTCTCAATACCCGAATGATACTGCTCGTAGACTTGGCAATATAATGTTTAAGTGTCTCAAATTCAATGTCACCCTCCTGTGTGTTTGTGGGTAATTTAGGCTGAGTAAGGCAACCTAGGTTGCCTTGCAGCTCCTAATGTGTAGGGCAGGCGAACCATCGTGAGGCGGGCAGGGGGACCTTTTGTTAATCCCTCAATACGTGGTAATAATTCTGTGTTTTTTTGTGCCACTGTCGTGCAACAGACAAGCCGAGAGTTTCAGACGGTGGGTACCAGAGTCATCACAGAAACTAGACTACCCTCCAAACACTCTTCGCTAGATGCCCTTTTAGTATTCAGGAAAGGTAGGTGAGTTTGTAAGGCCATCTACGAATAAAACTTGAACGGGTAGACTAATAGAGGTTTGAATAGTTTGGAGAAACAAACATGGCGAATCTCGAAGAGGCTGGCCAAAGTGCTCCTCGTGACCTTGGCGCGGCTTTGGGAGGCAACTTGAACGATGTAGAATGGCTGAGCTACATTGGAAATCAACTCTTTATCCAATATCAGAAGACTAAAGCAATATCTGACCTTGATAAATCCATCCCATTTGCGCAGAGGGCACTCCTTATTACCCCGGAAGATCATCCGGATTATATAGGATTACTATACCGTCTAGGAACCCAACTCGGGTGGAGATACCAAGAGATTGGAGAAATAAATGATAGTGAAGAGACTATCCGCATCATACAACACGGCATCGACAAAATATCGTACGATCAAAGCTATTTTTGTTGGCTGTTGTACAGACTTGGAATTGCCTTACGGGTTAAATTCCTTAGAACTCGAAATATAGCTGACCTTGAGGAAGCCATTCAAGCCACACGGCACGCTGTCCACGAAATATCTCATGACAACCCCATATACGAGATACCCCGAGATAGCCCTATCTATTTCAACTGGTTATATGCTCTTGCAGACCAACTTGATGATAAATACGATATAACAAAAGCTCTGCCTGACCTTCAGGAGATGATTCAAGTTACACTACAAGCTATCAGTAAAACCCCAATCAAACACCCGGCTTATGCAGAAGGACTGCATTCTCTTGGAATCCGACTTCGCGCTAAGTACTTGCGGACTAAGGAACTCGATGATGTTGAAGAGGGTATTGAAATTATGCAAGAGGCGACTGCTTCTACCCCAGAAGATGATCCCCAGCGTACGAAGCGTTTATGGACTCTTGCAACTCTCCTTGGTGATCGATACGACAAGGAAAGGGATGCAACTGATCTCAAAGAAGCTATCCGACTCCTACGGCTGGCCACCAATGTGACAACAGAAGACGATCTAGATCATGCAAGATTATTAAACGATCTCAGCAAGGGACTACGGGCAATGTTTTTCAGGGCTGGGAACATGGCGGACCTAGAGGGGGCTATCCAAGCTTCGCGGCAGGCCGTAAACATGGGGCCAGAAGATCATTCTGAACGCGCCACATGGCTGATCACTCTTGGGAGGAGTCTTCATGCTAGAGCGACAAAGACCGAAGAGATTTCCCATGTTGATGAGTCCATCCAAGTCGTGCAAAAAGCTATCGATTTGACCCTAGAAGACTCTCCAGACCTTCCAAAGTGGCTACATGATCTCGGAAAAGGACTTAGGCTAAGATATCTTGTAACCAAAGCTCTCGAGGACATTGGGGAAGCCATCGATGCTTTGCGGCAGGTTCTCAAGTCATTGCCAAGCGAGGATCCGGACTACACAGAGCTTCTAAACAACCTTGCAATGAGTCTTAGCGAAAGAGGGTTAAGAACTGGAATGGTCTCGGATCTCAATGAGACTATCCAAGTTTTGCAACAGGCTCTTAAGAATACTCCAGAGGTCGACGCAGACCATCTTGTGCTTTTATCTAATCTTGCAGAGGCACTTTACGAGAGATATTTGCAGACTGAAGCCATGGTTGATCTTGAAGGATACATCCAGCTCACCCAGCGCGCTATGAATATAGTTCCAAAACACAGCCCAGACCATTCAAAGTGGTTGAATAGGGTTGGTGTTGGGCTGGGATACAGATATCAAAGGACAAAATTAGCGGCAGACCTTGATATGGCCATCGAGTTTATACGACGGGCTGTTAACACAAGTCAAGAAGACCACCTGCTTCGGGGGGAGTGGTTAAATAATCTTGCAGTCCGCCTTGGCGAGAGATATTCGATTAATGGAGACATAGCTGACCTTGAAGAGGCCTTGAAGGCCAGCCAAGAGGTTATCTCTATTACTCCAGAAGATCACCCAAACTATCCGAGGTGGTTAAACAACCTTGGAAACCGGCTGTTGGAACGCTACCTGTACGACGGAATTGTCGCCGATCTTGACAAGTCCATCGATTTAAGACGGCAGGCTATCAATATCACCCCAAAAGACCACCCGGACAACGGAGGACTGTTGATGAATTACGTGGACGCCTTGATGACGAAATTCAACTTGGAAAGCAATATAGATGACACGGATAAGATGATATCAATCTGCGAATCTGCTTTACGCCAGTCAAATTTCTACATTTATGATCGGATACGCGCAGGCGGCAGACTTCTTGCCTTGTACTCAATGACTGGGAAGTGGGAGCGAGCGTTCGAAGCCTCCGAACTTGTGAATTCTCTGATTCCTAGGCTGACATCGCGACATCTTGAGAATGCTGATAGACAGCACCGGCTTCGTCAGGCAGTTGGTCTCGCGTCTGACACCGCAGCAGTGGCAATGCATGCCAACAAACCGCCATTACTTGCATTGAATTTTCTTGAGAACGGCCGAGGTGTACTTGCCACATCTCTGGAGGATATGCGTATAGACATCGTGGAGCTGCAGGAGAGGCACTCTGACTTGGCAGAGCAATTTGTCGGTCTACGTGATGAGCTGGAAAACCCACCGTCCCGCGTCAACTCTTCCACCAAACAGCAAGACACTAAAAAGCAAGATGCTCAGTATTCCTGGAGAACAGAGGCGACTCGGCGTCACGATACCGGTGACAAACTCGACCAGCTGATCATGGAAATCCGCAAACGACCAGGATTTGATCATTTCCTACTCCCGCCAAGTGAGTCAGATATTCGTGCTGCAGCTAGCCAGGGACCGATTGTTGTCATCAACGTTAGCAAGCATCGTTGTGATGCGATCCTAGTTGAACGTCAGAAGATCCGGTCACTGCGATTGAAAGGGCTTGGAAAAAACGACATTGAAGAAAAGAGCCGACGAGGAAGCCTGGGAACCCCCGAAATACTAGAGTGGTTATGGGATTTTATCGCAGGTCCGGTTCTGGATGCCTTGACATTTACTCAGCCGCCGCTCGACAACGACTGGCCTCATGTGTGGTGGATTCCCACAGGCCCTCTGAGCAAATTTCCTCTCCATGCTGCAGGGCGCCACGAGGAAAGTTCTGGCAATACAGTCCTCGACAGGGTCATATCGTCTTATAGCCCCTCTATCAAGGCCATCATAAACGGTCGTCGTCGTAGTGACCAAACTGCTACCCAGATGGGCTCGTCTCTCCTTGTCTCCATGGAACACACCCCAGGCTATTCCAACCTCCCCTATGCTACTGACGAGATAGCGATGTTACATGATCTGCATAAGTCCTTCGCACTCAACCCTCTTGAGCCTGGCCGCCGTTACCAAGACATCACGTCTCATTTGGCCGCTTGCAGGATCTTCCACTTTGCTGGACATGGTTTTTCGCATACAGATGACCCATCGAAGAGTGAGCTGCTTGTGGAGGACCGGGACACCAATCCGCTGACGGTAGCCACTCTTCTTGAGATGAACCTCCGCCAAAATCCACCCTTCCTCGCGTATCTGTCGGCGTGTGGGACCGGCCGAATCAGGGATGAGAGCTTCTTCGATGAGAGCATCCATCTCATCAGTGCTTTCCAATTGGCAGGCTTCCGGCACGTAATTGGTACTTTGTGGGAAGTGAATGATGAGATGTGCGTGGATATGGCTAGACTTACATATGAGGGAATCCGGGACGGAGGCATGACAGACGACTCAGTCTGTCGAGGCCTCCATCACGCCAGCCGGGAACTCCGAGATCTTTGGCTTGTTTCATCAGCGATACGAGGTGCAAAACCAAAACGTGAAGCAGATCCATTTCCAGCGGGGGATGAGGCAGCTACAGGTGAGGAGGATGAGAGAGGTAATAGAGTGGGAAGAGATATGATTTTGGACGAGAGGGCAGAGGCACACTGGATTCCATATGTTCACTTTGGTGTTTGATTGTTCTTACAAGGCCTGAATTTCCAATGTATCTGAAAAATCATCTTGAAAACTAAACCTGAAAGATCCCGTATCTTAGTAGATCCAGTTAACCAATACCTAATCTGGAAATTTAATATTCAGATTATGTTCTTTGCCCTGTATTTCACTATGTTTCATCTTCCTTCTAATTTCCCAACTTGCGGTATATCATGTCAAACAGCTTTAGATCTTGAGCAGCATCTTCCACCGTTGTCTTTATTGGCTTGCCATTCACTATGGACTCATAAAGCTCCTGGAATTCAACGGTGTAGCAATCCTCGTACGAAGAAAGCACAGATCGTCGTTGAATTTCGCCGTGCTCATTCAATTCTTCGACCTCAACCGTAATAGGAAGACCCTTGACGTATGGGCTGTCGTACTATTACATCCAAAACATTAGCTTTTGATCCAATCGCCCTGAGAAAATAGTAATAGTCAAGTGAGGGGAATATACCTTGATACTAACTCTCTTGTTACTACCGTAGACGGCGATGTGCGCATCAAAGCTGGGAACGGAGTCGATTCCACTCTCGTACGTAACCGAGTACGGGGACCCATCGCTGTTTCGGAAAGAAAGAATAGCGCTATAGAAAGGATCATTGGCTGAAGAACCGAGCACTGCTTCGGGGAACCCAAGAGTTTCCCGCATCAGAGAGAGGTCATGAGATCCAAGGCTGCCCAAGAAGCGGCACAGCTTGCGCTTCTCGTCGGTAATCTCCTGCCCGGGGAAAGCTTCCTTGAACAGACTTTCAAAGCGCCGGTTACGTTCCTCATTTGCACCAGGCGGGAAGTCGGTGCCCTTGACCTGGAACGTGCCGCTCTGGTTGACAAAATGAGCGTTGGGACCGCAAAAGTCGCGCACGCGCGCATAGAGGATCTTGGGGATGGACGCAATCTCCCTCTTGAAAGCATTCACGTAGCTTGGGGCATAGCGACGCATGTAGCCAACGAATGCCTTGGCCTGGCTCTCGTTCTGGGCAGCGAGGATCCGGTTCGCAGAAGGGATGGAGAGGGTCATGGGCTTCTCGACGAAGACATGCTTGTTGGCCTTGAGAGAAGCAATTACAAGAGCTTCATGGCTATCGTCGGAGGTGAGGATGAAGACGACATCCACCTTGGGATGGTCGATGACCTCCTGGGGCTCCGAAGTCTTGTGGGCGATGTGAAACTTTGTTGCACTGTGGTTTAGCTGCGTCTGGGAGATATCACAGATGGACTCAATTTTGTATTGGTGCGAGAGAAGAAAAAGACATGGTCCATGACAGACTTGGAATACTTCCTTTAGCACAACAGGTTAGTCAGACGTGGTCTCACAGGCGGTCAAGGGGGTGAGGGGTAGGGCTGGGAGAGGGGAAAAAGGCCATCATCATCATCATCATCATCATCGAGTGATGGATGGTTATTTGGGCCAGCCAAGACGATCGACAGCTCAGTGGAAATTCCAACCTACCCCAGCGCCAATAATTCCGACACCCAAGATTCCGGATGAGGACATGATGAAGGATATCTCTTTCCTTGATAGCTGCTCTAGATGGATTTGCAGTCGGTCGTTAGTTCTAGCCCAACATAAGCAGACTTTATCCGTTGATGATTGATTCCCAACAGCAAGGATGTGAGGATTGGGTTGGAGCAGGGAGTCGTCAGATGGGCACCAAGATGGAAATGATCCGACGGTTGGAGCCGAGCGGAGGCGACTTGTACCCGGTTAGCCTCCGATCCCGCTCTCATTTGACAGGGGTTTTCCCATGGCACTGTGGCAAGAGAAGCCAGTTCTGAGAAAACCTGTATGCTTGGTTTGCTTGGTTTGCTTCATAGGTCCGCTGGAATGGTCCCATGGGGTGTTACGGCTTGTTGGAGCCAGAGACAGAGACTGCGTGGAGATTGCTACATTCAATGGATTGTAAAAAGGACCGGCATGCGGCCTTCCTTCTCGGACCTGGCTGGATGTGTAAGTTTCACTCAGTTAATATTTGGCTTTATTTTCATTAATTGGCCCTCGTAGTGTTGGTCCATGCATCTTGTTCATTAAGACTTGTCTATGAGTTTCCCCTTTGAGATATATCTAGCTGTTGATTCCTCCCTCCTCCACCTTCTCTCTCCCCTCTCCCTCGTTTTTCTTCTACTCTATTCTCCCCCTTTTCCCTACCTCCTTGAGCTAGTTTTCTACCTAGTATTATAGGAACAAGCCTATCCACTAAGTGTAAAGATATGCCTAGGCTTTCGATTCGTCGGACACAATGGCTCTCGATGGAGTTCCATCCGGCAAGTACATACCCCGGTATCTGACTCCACGCCTGCCAATCTGCTTGGCGATGTCATCTGCATCGGAAGCCACAGAAACTGCGCCTTTGGTGATGGGTGCCTGAAATGCGGTGGCTATCTCAAGCGGGCTCATCGATACTGGACGACCAAGCCTCCAGAACCCGTGAAACAAGATAACGACTGCCAAGGTGCTGAAACCAATGATGCCCAGAGTTCCACCAAAGAACCTCAGATCAATCTTGTATTTATTGATTGTACGCAACTGGCTGCCTTGTATTGTCTGTTGCGCGGAGGGATCTGAAAACGCTATCGCGGTGCGGAAGGTCACCTCGCGGATGGCATCCAGGATGGCGGGCATTGGATCAATCCACCTCATACTCTTACTGCCCAGCTCTTCGTCTGTGAAGTTTCTGTAGGTATAAGTCATCAGGCCCGAGCCCATAATGGCCAAATTCGCCGAACTGTAAACTCTCACTTCGCTGTTGTAGATGCTGCCTAGCGCATAGGCAATGCCGCCAAAAATCGACGGCTGTTTCATCAGGCCAGCAGTTTCCATGTTTGGATAAACAAGCTTAGTTGTGTGATTGACTATCTCATCGACTGAAGAGCTTGCACCGCCCAACGCAATTATCCCATTGGTGTAGTTGAACGGGTATTTCACTTGAGCACTCTGCAAGGTGCAGTTGGTGGTGATCAACTTGCCCTTATCAGCTGAATCTGCCTTGTGGGTAGTCATAACTGTGATTACCCCAGCCCTATAGATAGTATTGGAAGATATAGCTATAGAGCCAATCGTGGCATTTCCCCCAGTTTTTATATTCATGTCGTAGTCTTTGCCCCCCTTTGTGCAACTGACATCGAAGCCGGTAGTGACGAAAGTCCCGGAACAGGTTCCCTTGCAACCCTCGAGGGACAATCTGATGTTCTTTCGGTTTGTAAAGTCCTGCACGACCTGGGAAAAATTGCTCGTCAAGGCATTGACCGATGGGGCGTGGGTCATGTAGTAGCCCGTTGGCTGTTTGAACTGGTCCTGGGATAAGGCCGCGTTGAAAGTCGCATTCTCACTCTCGGTGACGGTAATGATTTCTGCAGCTCTCTGTAGAAGCGGTGGGCTGGCGATGAGGAACAGCATGACGATAGATACAAAAGTAACTTTGTTGAAGTGCCACAACCCTATAATGGATTGAAAGGCGCTCGATCCGTGTTGCCAGTAGCGGTGGCTGTCACCGAGATTGCCGCCCTTCAGCATTTTAAGCCACCAGGCCAAAGCCGCACCCTCATGAAAGGCAAGCGTCAAAGATGCATTTACCAAGGCAATCAAGATGGCAAGTATCACGGAAAGCTGGATGGTTCTCGACTCGCTCGGCCAGGCATCCGTCGCTTTGCCGTCGGCCGTCTTTAGCATTATAATGATAGCTATGGCAGCAAGGACAGTTACCACCAAGCCGAGCATCCCAGCCCAAGGGATGCTCTTGAAAAAACTTGGGTGGTAGACATTTTCCGCAGATTGCTCGGGTAGGTGTGGGTGAACGGCATAGGATGTACCATTAGAGATCAATTGCTGATGTAGCTCATAGCTTTCATCACGATGGGGATGACCAGCGGTTAGGTTCTGAGCACTCCCTGTCCAATTCGTCTGGTTGGGGAAGGATTGCTGAATATATTGATTCTCTGGCTGGTACGCACGCGCGCTATGCTCCGGATGGTGGTTGTCGTAATATGTAGCCATATCGATCAAAAGGCTCAAAGAAAGGCGTGGAATTTGGTGCCAAAATGTTTCGCTAGCAGTTCCACGAGAATAAATATTTTCGACGGGCACGAACTATAACTCCTTAACCCGGCCTGAACTGTCTAGTCCTGCGGCTCTGCTGCACGCCCGCCAGTTCATGTCAAAATACCTCGGCAAGGGCATCGGACATGATGGCTGCCTCGACTCCACTGATGTAAGGCGTCCAGACATGGGGCATGGTTGTCTGTTACCAAAACGGCAGCTCCGGGGGCAACCCTAGATTCAGCCCTGGAATGGGTCAAAGAGCAGAATTTGGCATCAACAGACCATGGCCGATCTTCTTAGGGCGCCTCATTACTGCCATGACTCAAGACGTCCAAGTATACAGTATCTTAGGACCTCGTAACTTGAACAGATATGTTTTCATACAAGACATAAAGGGATACTGTTGTGACTCAAGGCTCAGGGACGCCAAGTTAGTCCTATCTTTATCTAACTGAAAATTATTCTAGTAAAGGATCATAATGGGACTTTCTCTCTCCTCTCTCGGTCGGTTACAAAACACCTTCTATGCGCTTAACCTCAGTTCGCTTTAGAGTTATCGCGTTTTCGGGCACACAGTTTGGAGAAGAGTACGACAAGATACAAAGCAGGAGAGAGTTATCAGCTTTGAAATGGAGGAGTCTAGGGCACATTCTCCTGTATAGTGATGAAGGGCGCCCGCGACTACTACCACCACGCTTGCGACACCATTCCTGGTACCGAAGGTGCATAATACCGCCAAGTATTTTTGTCCCTTTATATTACTTCCATCAAATGCAAGGCCAGTTACGCAGACTAACCCCTCAAGAACAGGATTGCTGGTGGGTGAATTTGATGTGAAACTGTCTGGATACTGTGCTTTAGAGACACTTATATGCCAAAAGTGATCAAGGGGTTTCTATGAGGGATCACGTAGCTGGCAATTCGTCTGAGGTTAGGCATTTTTGGCAGCTCAGCTGGTGACCCATGCACCGTCGCTGCCACCCCTTTCTAACTTGTGAGGGCATGAATGTGCGAGAACATGCTGTAGCGCCTTTGCCCACCCATGTTCTACCCATGCTGGGCTCCACGCCGAACGTCTAGTCCGCCGTGCTGGCGGGGTGGAGAATATTCAATATTGACTGCTGCTGAGATGTGAGCCTATTTCTATTCTCAAGTCTTGGACACCAAATCACAAATGGCAGCATATTTGAGCCACATGGAAAGTTATTTACCTTAGCTAAGACTATGTATATTAAGTGATTATCATGACGTTCAACTTTGCGAGCATAGCGGGCCAGATAAGCGTTCCTCTTTCCCACGTGCAATCAATGTTAGTTTGGAAGTGACACAATTTGGCGTGTGGGGCAGTCAGCACTAAATAAAATATCGTGGCCGAGCTAAACAGCTAAGCGAGGAAGAATCCCCATTGTTGTCCGCGAACCAACACTCAACTAAGAGTGCAAGGGAGTCTTTATCTGAAAGAAGAGGCGGAACTTGGATCTCAATCCAAAATGGGACCAAGCTTACTATGGGGCCCTTACATTGACGGAAAATACCTGCATCCCATCCCATCGCCGCCCAAACACTAATCAAGTCCACACTTTTCAACATTAGGTCGCATTTCAACTAGGCCAGCAAGATTGCAAAGTCTACGACGCACCCTTCCTTTGTTTTTTGCCGGCGTAGCTACCACATTACTCGATGGAGTTCACACGAACGGCCAAAATATGCCCAAGGCTTGGTTTGGTACTGAACCGGGGCATGCTGGGTCGAAAGGACACTACAGCAAAAATCCACTCCACCAAGTCGGAAACTCAATCGCGTTTCATTGGACTTCGAGGTTCGAAAAGACTGAAATCATCATGATTTGGGATATGACCCAAGTTAGAGTACTTCGTAGTCAGAAAGGCCATAATTAAAAGGAGAACAACGATTATGGATTGACTTCCGGGCTGCTACTAACTAGTCTGCGCCAATAATATGTCCTTCAATGGCAGAGGAAATATAACAACAAGAAAGCAAAACAGGAAGCCCCAGGAGTTACTTGAGGCGTTTAATTAATAACACATCTGTCGATGGTTTGAAACGTCGTGAATGTTCCCTTGTGGGGGCGCTGGTTCTTTGTTAAACTGAAGGAGTAGTGCAAGAGAAAGAACTCACCGTATTCTCTCTGTCTTACCAACAAAAGGAAATGGATGCGGAGTTGAGCTGCTGCGAAGGGAATTCTGATATAGCACTGTACCTACCTTTTCATCATTGAATAGAGCGTAGATGCGATGTGTGTGCCGTATGCATGATCTGGTGAATAAGAGGCTGGTCTGAAGATGATGTGATACGAGTCTGAGACAAACATACACAAACGAATGAACGACTTACCGACGAAAACGCCAATCTTCTGTGCGACAAATTGATTAGCCTTCATCCTGCGATAAAAAAGAAGAACGCCCGTGGACAAACGAAGGGTCGCAAAGATTGACACCGTCCACACTTCTGGCTGGCGTGTGTACTTGGTCCGTGTTGGATCTGAAAAGTCCTTCGGCGACGTTGACTGCAAAGGGGTGGATTCTAACCCAGTGAAGTAGAGCAAACTCCATGCGCTTTTGTGAGGGTTTTCACCTGGAGAAAAGAGTAAAAGCGCTGCGGGAATCGAACCCGCTGGCCGTAGCCCTGCCAACAAAGCGCTTTTTGGAGCGAAGCCCAAGGATTTGCAACCATCAAGATAAGGAGATTTGCACTCATCGAGATAAAGGGATTTACTCCCATCAAGATAAATAAAAAGATAGGCTTTCGCCTACTTTATCAAGATAAAGGAATTTACTCCGATCAAGAAATAGGAACATGGCCTTTCGGCCACCAACCAAAATGGTTAAAGACGGTTAGTTGGAACAGTCGATCTCGTCATCCTTGTCGCCCCCAAAGTCCTTATGGGATACTCCGGGCCCAGTTCGAACTCCACAGATTCAGTTGGTTTCCAACTTCCTCTTCTTGATGGGGAGATCCTCGGCAGCATGAGCATCCTCGGTAGCATTAGCATTCAACTTTCTTTTCTTCGTGGCGGAATGAGCATCCTCGACGGCGGAAGCATCCTTAGTGTCGACCATAGCGGTAGGGGCATCCATGGCAGCGGGGGCATTCTCTGGGGTGATGCCAGGGAGCAGAGCGGCTTCGACGGTGGTATTGCCGGAAGTTGGTGTGGGAACCGCAGGTGTTGCGGCAAACGAAGGACCCGCGACGGAAGGCGCGGTTGTTGAAGCTTCTTCAGAATCAGCAGGCCTCTTTCGTTTCCCAGAGGAGCCCGATGTGAACTGTTCTAGCATTAGTAGCGTTCGCCGTAGTAGGTAAGGAAGTTTAGAGACTCAAGACTTACTGCCACCCTGGATGCTCGACTAATGCCAAGCCGAGACTCTTTGAATACCTAATTCTCGAGCTCAGACTCAGCTTGCCGGCACTGATCTCGTTGGTCGAATCCGACCATTACCCAGCCCAAATGACGAGCGGGGTTGTTCAATTTGGCCTTGTCGACTGGTGGCCAGAAAAAACGAGGGGAGTCGGAGTTGCTGAGCTTCTCCCGAAGTGCGCTTTCGAAAGCAATGCGGGTGGCTTTGAATGGGATCTGATTGATCCGAATCATTTTACGATTGCTGCGGAAGGCAGCAATCTGGTCTTCGAACGCCGACTTTGCTTGTTCCATTCTGCTGGGACGTTTAGTATCAAGGTCTTCTAAATGATTGGTATTCTTACTTAGCGAGGTGGAGAGGCTTGTGGATTTGGTTTGATTGATGAATTTTGCAGGAATGGAACACTGTGTTGGTTTTGGTGCAGATGGTAGAAAATGGAGGAGCGCTAGGACCACCTGAGTCTCCACCTCAGTTCTTGAATCGAATAGTGGATCCAGCGATAAGATAAGCTACACACCAAAGTCACGTGATTTGGCACAGAGGGTGTTGGGGCTTGGCAACAAATATTAAGTTTTTACGAATCTTTGTTGGCCATCAGACTTTCTTATATGCACTTTATCTTATTCTGATCGTTGAGAAGGATGGTCTACTACTTGACAGTGTTGAGCGGCAGCGAATCAAAACCCTTTGAGGTAATACCCGCAATTGGCACTTTCGATGGTGAGCGTGGCTACATGTAGCCTGCTAGATGCGATCTGCGCTGCTAGGTATGTAAGGTACCTACCTAGGTTGCCCGCATGTAGATTCATCTAATATGCGAGAGAGCGCCTTAGCGTGAGTGAAGTTGACCCTCTCAATAAGTGCAATGGTGCCCTGGCAGATGTTCTTGCCGTCGTCTTTGTAGACCTGTAGGGAGGGTAAAACAGCACGAGTTAACCCCGTTGATAACTGACGCGGTCCTATGTATACAACTGGAATGCGGCGGGGTAGCTTACGAGAAATAAGCTCCCGTACAGATACTGACTTTCTCCTCCAACCTCAGTCGATCGGCAATCTTCGAGCCTTTGCTATTGCCATATTCTAACCCACCTCTGATACCCCTAGCATTGAGGATTGGATAGGAGAATTTGAGTATTCAGAGGCCTTGGGTAGTTAAGATTCGGCTGAATGATTTCGGTTTCGAACTAAGCCCAGGCTAGACCTAGGCTAAGGGCTAGAATAATTAGGAGGCGTAAACCAGCCATCTTCTGGAACCTTTTGAGGGTCTTTTAACAATATCTGCGGGGGCAAATGGCGATGCTAGATGAGAACTATATTAAAGCCTTTTTGATCGACTGTAAAGCAACTACATTATATAGGCGAGTATCCTGCATTATCCTCCGAGACCTTGAGCTAATTATAAGTTTATAGTAGCCTAGTATCTATTTATCTTTACTCCTCCAAGCTACATGTATAATGTTATTTATTCTAATATACCGCCTACATTAGGAAGCGGCGTAGGCCATTTTGTATGATCAGCTCATGGATCTCGTGTCTCCACTCATTCATCTCCTTCTCCTTCGAAAAATAGATTTTTAACTTCCCTGAAAACTCATTTGGTTCCAATCTTATGTAGAGGTGATAGGAATCTGAGATACATCATTAGAGAAACACAAATCACGCCATAAACAAGAAACAAGGGAGAGTAATGAACCCGTACCTTCTACCCCAAATGGCCAAAGCCCTTTGATTTCCCAGAGAAAGATTACAGCTTCTATGCCCAGGCTTGACTTGGGTAGGTTGGCGTTACTTTCCTCGGAGCCTTTAGGGTTCGCGGCTGTCATCGACTGTTCTTTGCAAATAAGCAAGACGTTCTCAAAGAGATATAGATGATACTAAGTCCATGAAGTTAGCTCTATTCTACAATTATTCTCCCGTTGTTGTGGCATTCTACCTACCTGTTTTGTATCCTTCTTGCCCTTGAAGTGGATTAGGTATCTTCCGCACATGACTAAGTCCCCGAAATGCTCGACTTGATGTCCTTCCCAGTCCTGCATCCAATTGTTCAAATCAACCAAAAATAGTGCTAAGGGGATCGTTTCTTTAGTTTGCTTGATGTCTGTTTGGATCGACCTAATAGCATTCGCGGCGAGCATCAGATCGCTGAGTACTCGGCCGGCCCTCTTAGGCTCTCGTTTTTTGAAGAGCGTCACTAATGACTGCGAGAATTAGCTAGGGATTTAAGAGAATTCAATCGACTAAAGTATACCGTGATGAATTTTTCGTACTCTTCGAGGTGCAAAATAGGAAGACCCGAAAGTGCTATCAACTGCTGCAGGGCGAAGACATCCGGATCAGACAGGTTCCGACTTGCCATCTTAGCATGTAGTATGGCTCCCCTTTTAGAGCTGGAAGAATGATACACCTGAAATTCTTTGCTGATTAGCGCCAGGGGAGCGAACGGAATGTTCCATCGTTGGTTAAAGGGGTGTTCCAGGACCTGGGTCTCAATTGCAAGCAGAAGCTCAACCTGCCAATCCAGGATCCTATAAAACGGACCGAACACGATTTGAGACTCGCTACCATTGAAGAGCTCAAAACCCTTCTTGGTTTTTATGGCTAACAGTGTCCTCATCTGTTCGAAGAAACCCCGTTCAGTGTCTAGGAAACTGTTCACGGTGGCTCCCACATCCTCGAACATATCGCCGTACGAAGGCATCTGCTCACCCAGACGTTCGCTCTTTAGAATGTTTCGTTTGACAAGTTCCCCCAAGATTGACTCCAGGGTCTCTACCACCTATAAGCTAGTAGTCAGTGTACTCAAATCGCAGAAGGACGCTGAGTTTGAGCAAGACGCTGAAATACCTTGAAAAACCCAACATAGCTATCCTCTGTCAGGTCAAGTATTGTGAAAGCTTCCGTTGGGCCAAGGCTCAAGGTATTGAAGGAAGCAATAAACTCATGCAGAGCAGCATTATTGTGCAACGTTAATTTAGAATAGCGACGCAGCTCATAAAAATCTGGGCGTAGTTGGTAGATCAAAGCCAACAAGAGTGTCCCCTTTTGGCACACGTGCTTCAAATCTCTAAGGGGATTCTTTGGCTCATTTTGATAGAGGACGTCCGCTTCTTGAAACGCCTTTTGAAATTCCGGTAGCTGGAGGAGCATTTGCCGTATAAGTTGGCAATGCTGTATGATTGACGTGTTCTTTGTCGACCGCTTACTACTGTGAAGTTCAGCGCAAGAGACGCCCAGGCTGAGGCAAAAGCTATAGTGATGAGAATTGAATACATCCTCTGCAAATATAGGCAATGCGATGACAGAAATGTTAGATACTTTACTCAGACTAATTCCAGAGAGCATAGAGCCTACAGTCGAACGAGCCATGGAACTCCTAAATGAAAAGTCCATAGACGCGCGTTTGGCCCGACCGTATACTCTCGAGGATTCGAGGTCTTCTTCGAAATCTGAAAATGAGACAGGTGGTGCTCTTGCTGCAGACGCCTCTGGGATCGTTGGGAGTGCATCTTCCGCGGAGTCCGCATCGTGACCCGCCAATTTGTTTTGTTGCAAATCAATGAGCCCCTCTAGCACCATCATACGCCTAGCTAGGTCTTGATTTCCCCCCAACAGCTTATCGATGCTTTCTGTGAGGTCTAATCGATGTTGTTCCGCTTGCTGGGTAGACTCGCTACGTCGCATAGGTCAGCCAGGAAAAAGGAAACGACAACGAATAACGCTGTTGTTATCATACTCACCAGTTTAATAAATTTAAAATCAAGCTTGTGGATGATTTAAAACCCTGGAGCCTCGTCAGAAGGGAGTGCACCTTGCTCTGCTTGTGGGCCCATATCAGTCGTGAACGCAAGGGGATCGAATCCGCTGGCAACTCGATCCGTAGCTCGCCAATGGCTTCCTCCAGGTCTGAATACACAAGCACTCCATCGGTTAAGACGGCAACTATATCATCAACCTGGATGAGGGAGGTGTTTTTCGCGAGGCTCAGATTGTTGATCAGGCGCTGCACCGCTGAGAGAATAATCTGCGTGCTCTCCACTTCGGCATATACCTGCAGGGCAATTGGCGGCACCGTCTCGGAGACGGCAGAGACGTATGGCTTTAGGATCTTGGTCACCTCTCCAGCGGCTGTGGCCAAGCCTGCAATTGATGCTGCAACGCTGAGAGGATCCATGGCGGCCAGCGTGTCTGAGAAGATTGAACAGCTAATCCTAGATCATATCGCATCTGAGCTGAGATTTGCAATGCCAGGAGGATGGCTGTTCACAGCGGGGCGAGAAGGCAACCTGCAAGGCAGATTGCGGCTGACCAACCACCCTGCCTGTTCCTTGCGCCTCACCCCTGACATCAATGACTGGGAATAGCAGATTTTGACCTTGAAATTCTGAAACTGGGCCAATGATCAAAATGACCGAACGGGTAGGATAACTCTCAGCTTTGTTAATGTTCCAGGTTAAAGTGTGAATCCGAGGCCAAGGTCCGCCCTTGATGATAACAAATACTTTTCTTCCCAACTGCATAGATAATCAAACAGGATTCAAGACTGTTGCCGGGATTCTGTGCCATTCATTGGGGATATCGAGCATGAACACACGCTCAACAGCGAGGCCCAAGCCTAACAGGCGATGGGATAATCAACGATACGGGTACCGTACGCACAAGCCAGAGTTCGTACACGAGGCTAAAATTTCCTCAGCTCCTCCAACTTTAAAACAGCCTCGAAAACCGCACGAGTGTGATGCTCTCGTGAAGGTTCCTCCAGCTACCGAGACGGGTGGGCGGGACTTTCATATTGGGACGGCACCAGACCAGGGTTTTCAACTTTTCGTGGTTTCGGAGCAGTCCCTTCGGTTGGTCTGTGTATCTGTTTCTTCCATGTCTCTAGCTCACCCAAAAGTTCTTCAGTGTCAAGACGAGGAGGGAAAACCCTTGACAAGGGTGATATGAGGGCACTCGGCTTCGCTTTGCACACAAGTAATCGCTAGGCGACAGCAACCATAGAATCGCCAGTCTTTTTCTTTTTTGGATAAATAAACGACTGTTTCGACCCCGGCAATCCGAGTACGAATACCTACCTATAACCTGAGGCAGGCATAGCATCCGCACCCCGTGAGGGCGCACGTGATACTCCAAACTGCCACTCCTCGCCGCTAATTTCTACCTAAGGTATCTAATATACTTATATAATTTCATGCGACCTTTCCTAAAGCTATAAGGTATTAAAAAATAATTAACTATAAACCTATAGTTAATATACTAATACTTTTATATAACCTATAAGTATAGATTTATTAGTATATAAACTAGGTCTATAATAGACTCCTATATAACTTATATTATCTAAATAAAATTTTTAATACCTTTATAATATTCTTTTTATATTATATAATATTATATAATATTATAGTAAGTCTTTATAATATTATAATTATTATAATCTTTATAATATTAGTATACTAGAGGGAGATACTATATATCCTATACTAAATTTAAAATAAACCTAAAAGGAATCCTTTATAAGACTTATAAGCTTTACTAGAACTAAGGCCTTTATTAACTATTTAATACTATAGATATTAATACTTACTAACTATATATTTACTTAATATAACTATCTATATACTCCTTAGTAAGAGGAAAGTATTATAATATTAAGAATTATATAACTTAAGCCTTTTTATAATATCCTATAAATTATATAAGTCTATATCCTATAACTTAAGCCTCTTTATAATTACTATAAGCTTTACCCTAGTTAAATATATAAACCTTCTTAAGTTTTATAACTTATACTAATCCCTTTATATTACTATATATAAACTTAATTATTAATTATAATACTCTTCTTATTTATAAAATCCTTACTTCTTAAGTTTTAACTATTTATAATATCTATTAAGAGGTATAATATAAGGATAAGCTTATTATAACCTCTTTATACTATTTAGGACCTTTATATTATACTTATAAATTCTATATTACTTTATATTAAATTAAAGAAGATATTTCTAAAAGGGGTAAGGATATAACCTATACTATATATTATAGAAAGAGTAATATTAATCTACCCTCCTTTAAAGAGTTACTCCCCTTTCTATAATACTTACTATATAATAAAGATACTTAAAGTCTATTATTTTAAAAGAAACTCTATATCTATAATAATATCTTTATATTTATATTAATTAAATATATATCTATATATTATAGTATAGTTAGTAATAGCTCTTAATACTTCTAGGTCTATAGTATACTATATTATAATATTAGCCCCTTTAAAGTATAAATTAATATAACTCTAAAATATATATAGCTATACTTCTATAATCCTTAAATTATAGTTAATATATAATATAAAAGTCTATTTAATTTTAATAGAACTATTATAACTAAGATTATAGAGTTTATATATTATAATAACCTATATATTAATATCTATATAATTATATAATAGTAACTATAGGTATTATTAATTATAGACCTTTATATTAAGCTAAATCTATAAGTTAAGCTAATTATATAGGATAATATTAATATTTATAGGGATAATTTACTAACTTTTAATAAAGTTACTATAATTATCTCTAAGGTTAATAATAATTATTAAAGAATTATTATTCTTATAGAATAGGGGGGTATAAGGATAGGTATATATTTATATATATTTATATATTTAAGAGAGATAAGTAGGCTTATATTTAATTAACCTAGCTATCTATCTCCCTTCCTTCCTTCCTTCCTCCTCTTCTCCCTAGTTATATATAAATATTCTATTAACTTAAGTAACCTTAGTAGCTATCTTTATAATAAACTAATTTCTTAGCCTTCTAGTAGCTAGAGGTTATAGTAATTATAATTACTATTTTATATTAATATATACTTTAGGATTAGAAAGGTTAACTAATAAAAGTATATTTTAATAATTATAATCTAATTATTTAAATCCTCCTCTTTAAAGGAGTTAGTTCTATTAAGAATATAACTACTAAAGTTAAATAAATTAACTAGCTACTTAAGATTAAGGTCTTAAAGTACCTTAATCTCTAATAACCTTATAGCCTTAATAGTACTTATAAGCTTATAATTACTTATATCTATACTAAGAAACCTAGAGATTAGTAAGTTATATAGCTATCTATCTTTAATAATAGGTACTAGTACCTCTAGTAGCTTATATTTTAGTATCTTAATATATCCTTTAAGATATTTATATATTATACTTATAGTTATAAGTTTAGAGTAGATTAGGTGAGATTAATAGTAAGTATAGGCTTAGTGGGATGTTTAAGACTTAAGTGTAGTGATATGTGAAGTGGCGAAGGTAGTGATGTATTATTAAATTATCTGTGAAGTAATGAAGGCAGTGATTGTGGATAGATTATTAATGTAGACTTAAGCTATATAGTTCTATTAGGTATATTTATAGTAGTATATGCCTTATCTTCCTATTAAGTAAAAGGACTAGGCTAGGGATAGTAGCCTTTAAATAGATAGAAAGTAGTATTTTAAGGTTTATAAAAGGAGTTATATTAATAAAAGACTTATATTTAAGATATAAGCTATTATTAATATTAAATCTTATATATAGCTAGGTATAAGCCTTATAGCTAGGTAAAAAGGCTAAAGTTTAATATATTATAATACTAGGTATAGTATTAAGTTATTTAATTTTTAATATTTAGGAATTTCCCTTTTTTTTTTAGTAACTACTATATAACTATATAGCTCTCTTACTTACTACTATTATTCTTATAGAATATTATATAAATAGTTTAAGGTTCTAATTCTATTAAATTTATTTAAAATATTCTTTATATCTACCTCTAGAATATCTCTTTCTCTTTCCTTTTAGGGATAAGAGTTATAATATAAACCTTTACCTTTATAATTATTATAATATTAATTATTAATAAATTATAATAACTTTATTATAGTACTTTTATTATTATCTCTATTAATATTAAATTATATAATTAGTTCTATTTATATATTAATATCTCTTTTAATAATTAATTATAGATATATAGATAGTTTATAAATAAAAGTACCTTAGTTAATTAATAAATAATTAATATATAATCTATATTAAATTATATTAAGGCTTATATAATACTTTATAAGATTTATTAATAAATCTTATATAGTAAGAAAGATATATAATTTTATTTTTCTTTTATATAAAGAGCTTATACTTTATAGTAAAGTATTATTAGGATTTAATAGTTATTATATAATATTTTAGCTAATTTACTCTTTTTATTATATTTACTATAAATTTAACTTAATAAAAGATATAAGTACTTTTATAACCTTTATAATAAGCTATTAATTAACTTAATATTATAGTAAAAGTCTTTTACTTTAAATAAAAGGTATTATTATATTTTATTAAGACTTTAAATTACTTTAGAATATTTATAAATTATATATAGATTATTAAGTATTAAAAATAAGGCCTTTTATATATATATTTACTTCTCTTTCTTAAGCTTAAAGATTATACTAAGTTATTATAACCTTTAAACCTTAATAAGGTTATATATATAGAGCTATTAAACTATATAATAAATCTAATTAGTAAATTATACTATATTATTAAATCTATAATAGTTTATAGCTTATATAAACTTAACTTTCTAAATATACTATATATATAGGTATCTAAGTCTAGCTTTAGACTAAAGTATTATAGTAAGGGTTTCCTATATATAGCTACTATTACTATAAATATTTAGGATAATAAGTATTTATTATATTAATATTAAATCCTATTAAGCTAATAATTTATAAAGAAGTACTTTAATAATATAAAGGAGTTTATCTTTAATAATTATTAAATTATATTTTATAATCTTATTTTTATAAAGATATTTAATATTTATATTAATATTAAGTTAGTAGTTAATATATAAAGTATAAAATATATTTATAAATATATTTATAAAAGTATTAATTATATCTCTCTTAAAATTATATATTATTAACTAGTTATAACTAATATATTATAAATAAATAATTATAATCTTAAATCTAATTATAATAAGATTAATAAGTATATTAAGAGTTACTATATTAGCTCTATAGAGGCTATATAGAGGATATTTAAGTTTTATATAAATAAATAGTTTCCTCTTATTAAACCCTTAATAATTTACCTACTTAGTAAGAATATTA